TTGCGCATGGCAGAGTTAGAGGGTGGGCCTGGGAAACTGGGCACTGGGGACAGCTTTCTGCTCAGGACCCTGTGGACTTAAACTAAGGCCATAGGAAGCTTCCAAGGGTTCTAAACTTGGGAGGAGATCTGCATTTCAGAAGGAGCACACTGGCTGCAGTGTGGATGATGAGTTAGAAGAACAGCCAGGCTCTTGTGCTCCAGACGAGAGAGAATGGTGCCCAGGCTCTGGTCGTTACAAGAGGAATAGAAGCAGATGGTTGAGTTTGAGGGATATTTAGGGGAAACACGTAGGAGCTAGAGATGCCAAGGTTCAGTGGTTGTGGGGTATAGGTGGGAAAAATAAAGGGAAAAATCATGGATGGAGCCCAGGTTTCTGACCTGGTGCTCTGTACCGGGAGAGTGATAGATCGACTCCGAAGAGGATTGAGGCAGAAAGCTGCTGAGTATTTGGGACAGGTTGATTTTGTGGTGCTTGTAAGACATCCAAATGTAGAAATCTAGAAGCCATCTGGGGCTCGGATCATGACCACAGGGTTGATAAATGAAGCTCTGGGAGTAGGTTGGTTGAGCAGGATGAGTGTATGAACAAAGAGTGTCTGCAAGAAAACCTTAAAGAAGGGCAGAAGAGGAAGGCTGCCGGGGAGCAGGAAAGCGTGGCCAGAGAAGCCGGAAGCCCAGGAAAGGACTCCACCACCAGGGAGGCCGAGGAAGAGAGTGTCAAGATGGCTGAAGGGGCCACTGCCGATAAAGACAGCTGGGAGTTCAAGAAGATAAAGCTGAGAACATGGCCTTGGATTTTAGTATCAGGGAAGTCATTGTCATCAGTTAGCACAAAGAGGAGGGTAAGAGAAGCTGGCTAAGGGGCAAATGTTAGGTGAGGAAGCAGAGAGAGACAGCGTAAACAAACTCTTCAAGACTTTTGACTGGAGGCGAGGACCGAAATTGGAAGGTAGCTGGAGAGGAATTTGGGGTCAAGGAGAGCAGTGATGCTGTCTTTGAAGATAGTAGCAATTTGTGCATGTTTAAATACTGATGAGAAGGAGCTAGTTGCAGGGTGGCCACACAATCTCTAGGCAAGTTAGAAGTTGGAAATGTGTCTTCCTCCACTCTCCACACAAACACAGTGGCTGGATTCTCTTCTCTTGTGCACTTGGTGATGTCCATCATATTAAGCCTTTTGCTAGAAAGTATGTGAATATTTATAAAACAAAGAATTAATCTCTAAGATCCACTCTTATGCTTTGGGCCTTTGTGTCTGCTCTGGAGAGTGTCATGGGTTGAGGACTCAAGTACACAAACTCCCTGAGATGGGATCCAGAGCTGTGGAGGGCACCTTGCCTTGCCTTGCCTTTCTGACACATTGATTATGAGATATATAGGCAGGTATTTCATGTACTACTTGGAAAGGAAAAATGCTGCCAATTAACTGATGTGTCATTGATGGTAAGACACGTCCCGATGTGAGTGATGTTAATGTAGAAGAAATGTGATTCTTAGACTTGATGAAATACAGTATTAGCCTTAAATAGGAGTAATAGCAGTGTTGGACAAAGAACGGTGTGACATTCGTGTGTCTGGGATGGAACAACGAAAGACCCCGAAGAGCCACGGGAATCCTGAGCAAAAAGAACAAAGCTGGAGGTATCACACTCCCTGATTTCAAAATATACTACAAAGCTATAGTAATCAAAACAGCATGGTACTGGGACAAAAACAGACACCCAGATCAGTGGAACAGGATCAAGAGCCCAGAAATAAACCTACGCATCTGTGGACAGCTAATTTTCAACAAAGGAGCCAAGAACATAACAATGGAGAAAGGAAAGCCTCTTCAATAAATGGTATTTAGAAAACTGGACAGCCACAGGCAAAAGAATGAAAGTAGACCATTATCTTACACCATACACAAAAACTAACTCAAAATGGATTAAAGACTTGAAGGTAAGACCTGAAACCATAAAACTGCTAGAAGAAAACATAGGCTCTATGCTCTTCAACATCATGTCTCACCAGGCAAGGGAAGCAATAGAAAAAATAAACAAATCTGACGACATCAAACTAAAAAGCTTCTGCACAGCAAAGAAAACCATCAGCAAAACAAAAAGACAACCTTACAACTGGGAGGAGATATTTGCAAACCATATATCTGATAAGTGGTTAATATCCAAAATATATAAAGAACTCATACACCTCAACAACAAAAAAACAACTCAGTTAAAAAATGGGCAGATGAGGGGCCAGCCCCATCACCAAGTGGTTAAGTTTGCGTGCTCTGCTTCCACGGCCTAGGATTTCACCGGTTCAGATCCTGGGTGTGGCCATGGCACTGCTTTTCAGGCCATGCTGAGGTGGTGTCCCACATACCACAACTAGAAGGAGCTACAACTAGAATATACAGCTATGCACTGGAGGACTTTGCAGAGAAGAAGAAGAAGGAAAAAAAATGGGCAGAGGATCTGAATTGACATTTTTCCAAGGAAGATAGACAGTTGGCCGTAGGCACATGAAAAAATGTTCAACATTGCTAATTATTAAGAAAATGCAAATCAAAACTACAATGAGATATCACCTCACACCCGTCAGAATGGCTGTAATTAACAAAACAAGAAATAACAAGGGTTGGAGAGGATGTGGAGAAAAGGGAACTCTCATACACTGCTGGTGGGAATGTAAGTTGTTGCAGCCACTATGGAAAACAATATGGAGATTCCTTTAAAAAGTAAGACTAGAACTACCATACAATCTAGCTATTCCCCTGCTGGGTATTTATCCAAAGAACACAAAAACATGAATGCATAAAGATAGATGCACCCCTACATTCATTGCAGCATTATTCACAGTAGCCCAGACTTGGAAACAACCCAAGTGCCCTTCAAGGGACGAATGGATAAAGAAGATATAGTTTATATACACAGTGGAATACTACTCAGCTATGAAAAAAAGATGAAATCTTGCCATTTGCAACATCGTGGATGGACCTTGAGGGTATTAGACTAAGCAAAATAAGTCAGACTGAGAAAGTCGAATGCTGTGTGATTTCACTCATAAGTAGAAGATAAAAGCAACAACAACAACAAACACAGAGATTAGATTGGTGGTTACCAGAGGAGGAGGTGGGAGGAGGGGGCGAAAGGGGTAAAAGGACACGTGTGCGGTAATAGATGGTAATTCGTCTTTGGGTTGTGAACATGATGTAGTCTACACAGAAATGGAAATAGAATGATATGCATCTGAATTTATATGATGTTACAAACCACTATTAACCTCAATAAAAAAATAAAAACACGAAGTTTCGGGATGGGGAGATAAAGGCATTAGTGGCTCGAGAGTGGACGGTCTTTGAATGAGTCATTGACAGCAGTGGGACCAGGCAGACCCAGGAAATTGTAGGATGGTCGGGAAGTACTGAGGGTATCCTGAGGTTAGGGACCATGAACTTAGAGTGGTGCCAAACTGCATGGCTGTGATTTCTTGAAAAAGCAGACAGTGGCTTCATCCAGGATTGAGAGTTTGCTGGGCAGTGTACCAGAAAGAGAGTGGGCAGAGGCCTTGTGGATACTGTCTGTGCAGTGTGGGGTGACAGGGGTAAACGGCAGACCCCGTGTTGGGAGACAAGAAATGCAGGCTGACTGGAATGGTAATTAAAGGCAAACAGTAACGTCTCATGTTCCCCCAACTGTTGACTGGAAATATTTTTATAATGTTGCTTATATGTATGAGATTACGGAGCTAGGTGTAAACTTGTTTTACTCAACTATGAAACCAAAGAGATTTACAGATTAAGTTGAAAGAAAAACTTTATTCAAATAGCAAGATAAACATAATATCCTAGATAGTGACATTTCAGGTTCAAGATGGGAACACTGTTGAGGGTCAGATTCTTTTGCACTTGACGTGTCTGCACTCCCATCTGCATGCAGGGTTATGCTCAGATTACCTTCTGCATTTGGCATGCTCATTAGTGTAACCCTCAGGGTTATCCCTCAGCCTTCTGCTTCTCTTCTCTTTTGGAATTATTGTGAAACCGTTGTTTATGCACTGTGGTCTGACAGCATTTTGGCTTTCTCTTAACGCAAATGCATCATTTGCAAATTAGCCCACCTGTGTTCTTTTCCAATAAATCTGTAACTAGAGTGTAGTACTGTTATAGATACCATCACCACAAATCTTTAGTTACTCAGATAACCCAGAATGCCTCAATATATATGTTTTTAGATTGTCGTCAGAATTAAAAATGTATATAAATTCATGGACATCTGAAAGTTCATTAATTTTAAGAAACACTGACTGAGAGCAGTGGTTCTGAAAGTGTGGTCCAGAGACCAGCAGCATCAGCATCGCCTGGGAACTTGTCAGAAATGCGAATTCACAGTAGCCCCTCTCCCTCCAACCTACTGAGTTCCCTGGGCGCAGTCCAGGAATTGGGGCTTTAATCAGTCCTCAGGTTGAGTCTGATGCAAGCTGAGGTGTGAGAACTGCTGCTCTATTTTTTTTTTTTTTTTTTTGAGGAAGATTAGCCCTGAGTTAACATCTGCCACCAATCCTCCTCTTTTTGCTGAGGAAGACTGGCCCTGAGCCGACATCCGTGCCCATCTCCTTCTACTTTATGTGTGGGATGCCTGCCACGGCATGGCTCGACAAGCCGTGCATAGGTCCACACCCGGCATCCGAACTGGTGAACCCCGGGCCACTGAAGCGGAATGTGTGAACTTAACCGCTGCGCCACCGGGCCGGCCCCAAGACCTGCTGCTCTAACTTGACCTAAGCACCCATTTTACGGATGAGGAACTATGGCCCAAGAGGTATTGCTCAAGATCGCAGTTGATTTATAGGAAAACTGGATCTCAAACCTGGAACACTAGATTTTAGTCCAGTTCTGTTTCCAAAGCACAACACTGTCATTTCTTCCGTAGTTTTTGCTTTGTTTTCTTTGGTTTGGGTTGGGTTTTAAGAAGATGTTACTAAAGTTTTGGGTTCTTTTCATTTTGTTCCTTACAGTGCCAGAACCTACTAAGACCTGTTCAAGCCAGCCCCAACCTGCCGGTCCCAGTGCCAGTACTTCCACCAGCACTCTCTCCAACAGCAGCAATGGCAAACGTGCACCTGCCAGCGGCCAGCAGCCAGCTGCCTCCCGTTACCTGCCTCGAGAGGTGCCTCCACGCTTCCGCCAGCAAGAACAGAAGCAGCTGTTAAAGAGAGGTCAGCCGCTGCCTACAGGGGCTCTGACCAGTGTGAGCCCGAGCCAGAGTGCCGGGCCCGCGGGGGTAAGCCCTCCTCCCATCCCTGGAGCCGGAGCACAGCAGCATCCCAGCAAGCTCCAGCCAGGTAAAACCACATAGAATGAGTACTTCTTTTTATCTGGAACCGGTGTGCTGTTTTCAGCCTTGCGGCCGAGTGATAATGCACAGTGTCGTCCATATTCACTATATACATATAACAGAGCGGGCTAACTAGCTAGATGATTGGTAGATAGATAGATTTCAAGTGGATTTTAAAGTTTGATTCTGTTTTCCCCTACTTATTTCTATTATTTCTCCCATATTTTCAGATGGCATTAGCTACTTCAGCTAAGTTTGTTTCTCACCAGAAACTCCATCAGTACATAAAAATCTGTCAAGGCAAATGCTTTAGAACCCTGCAGTGAGCACTTTTAAATAAAACTCTTTCCTCTCAATTTACTAAGAAATCTGTCTCGTGGCTGCACATACACATGCTTTGCAGGGAGGTCGTGGCATTTGATGGGGAATGGGTATTTCTAACTGTAATTTACTCAAACACTTTGAGCCAAACCCGCCTGATACCTCCTTGCACTCAGCCCCCAAGGGGGTCCGGGTTCTGATCCACCTGCTTCTTGTTGGCCTCTTTGCATGCTGTGAGATGTGGCTTTGTCTTTGCTCCCAGGAGAAATGACCACTTGCTTATTTGCTTTCCAGCTTCCAGAATGTTAACGTCTCTCATCTCCTATGTCTCCTATTCCCGTCTTCTTGACTTACGGATTTATACTTTCAAAAATTTCTTTACAGAAGTTTTATAGAAATTTTTGGAAGAGATCAAAGAACGTGTACTCAGCTGCCGTGTTTCTCTGTTATTTTCTTAAATCTTTCTGTGTCAAGTAATTTAACTAACAACTGGCACTGGTTCCAGCATGGAAACCACATTTGCTGATGGTAGTGAAGTTAGGTCTGTAATTAGAGAAGCAGGGGTGTTTTGCATATTAGACTGGAGTTTAAAAGAAATGTCACAGTCGTGTTAGTATTTGTTTTCTTTCATGTGCCGCCTTTTAACACAGGGAATAATTCCTGCATGACCTGAAAGTATTTCTAGCAGTAGTTCTCAAAACCGTGGTGGATTTAGAACCAATGTTTTTAGGCAACTTCACCATGTCTCTTTAAATAGTAGTGTTGACTCTCACCTGCCAGAGTCCTGGTGGAGGGGCTGTAGGTCAGTGCTTGTCACCAAGAAGCAAGGAAGAGAAGAAGGATCAAATATATTCACTGACTGAAAACAGAGTCCCATCTACTCAGCTGCACGCAGTTTGTAATCAATCATACAGTTACTTTGTACACTGAAATCGGCCCTCAGGAAGGTCTCAGTAGAGACAAAGATTGTGTAGTCATACCTAAACAGCTTGGTGTATTAATTTAAGATGCTTGTTTTGAAAAACTGAAAAAGAAATGTTTTTTCTTGGATTTGTTTTTTCTTGGTTTTTTCCTTGGCTCCTGCTTTTTTCTGGATTTGTCTCGTTGTTTGATTAGTTGGCAGTATGGCATCAGTGTTCTCATCAAATGCTACTAGTGCGAGATGTCACTGGTACCTTAGATAAGCGGTAAATAATCAAGGAATTGATTCAGTAAAATTTTGGTATGAAAATAATTTTCTTTAATAAAATATTTGTCTGTAAATATTATACCCTTCTCCAGAAAGCTATTCCTAGTTCATTCTACTTTTAAAATATGTATAGAGAAGACTAAATCATCAATTTAATCATGAAGACTAAGTTATATATAACAACAGCTCAGAAAATGGAAGTAATCTATACAATATTAATATTAATAAAATAAGAGATGATTGACTTTGACTCCCTAGCAAAAATCTTTGACACCAATTTCATCTCTTCCTTAACAGTCTCTGGTATCATAGCCACGTGACTCTTTCTAACTCGTCACCTTTCGTTGCATCAGAAGTCCTCTCAGAAACCTGTCCTGGTTCCTCATTCCTAATCCACAAAGGTTCAGTTTCTCTGCCTGGCTGTCAAGGCCCTTCAGCCTTGTCTAGTCAACATTTTTCCTTCTCTTCTCCATGACCTACTTTCTCTTCTAATTGGAATTGTTTCCTTTCCCTGCTCAGTGTTGTCTTTCCCAGTACATGCACCCCTTTGATTGCCCTTCCTGTTTGTTTCTCTCCAAATCATCACCTCACCCTCCATGAACCCCCTTATGTATATCCATCCTCACTGCTCCTCCTGAAGCTGTAAGGTACTCAGTCTGCAACTTAGAACTTCACTCTCACTGTATACTGTGTAACCTCTACTGTTGGCTACTCAAGTATCCTATAGGGAAAGTGTCTGAACTTCCTACTGTACGACTAGCTTAGCAGGTGCAAAGACCTCTGAGCCGTAGAAGACCGAGCAGCTGGCACTGCTTATGCCACCAGCTAGTACTTCCATTTCTCATCCAAAATGCGAGGTCATGACCTCTAGTCTCCAAAGTCCCTTCCCTTTGATTTCTGACCTATACACTGTTCCAGAGAGCTTGTTTGATGTTGTCAGTGGAAGGCATTGCAGGAACACCATCCCATGTTGTTCTGGAATCAGCACAGGGATTGCAAGTGAGCATCAGCATGCATGGAGGCGGTATGGCAGAGAGGTCAAGAGACAGGCCGGGGGGACAGAGGTCTGATTCAGTTTCCAGACACGTGATTCCTGTGAGACCTTCGCCAATTCATCCTTATTTCTTGCACCTTAGACTCGTCTGTAAAATGAGAAGATTCCTGTTTTAGAGGATTTTATAAATGAGGTATTTGTTTCATACTTAGCACAGGGCCTTGAATATCGTTAAGTGCTCACTAAATGCAGATGAATAGCTGTTACTGTGGGACTTTTGAGACTTATAAAATATGCAACATATATGTACCCATCTTTGAAACACTATTATGGAGCAGGAATTTTTTTTTTTTAACTAACAAAATCTTTAAATGACTGAATTCAACAGCAGTGCAGTAAAGCTTTCTCATTGCTCTATGACCTGTGTATATTTTGAAATTTCAGTTGTCCTTCCTAGAGTGGAAGTATTCTGTCAACTTTTCGTTTTCATGGTGCAAGTTTCTTAATTCATATCCAAGTGAAATTTTATTAGTATGTTCTAGAACAGTAACCACATTTTCTTGCTGCATTGAAACTTTTCTAGATACTGCTTGAAGTAAAAGCTCTTATAACTTTAAGTAATACATAGATTTTCATTGTATTTGTATCTGTGTAAGCAGGTTTTCACTCCTGTAGCCATTCCTACATTCAAATGAAAAATAGAGTTTCATTCATAATTCCATTCCTCTAACTGTAAGGTTAAATTAAAGAGTATGAATGCTGGGTCAGCAGAACTGAGATAGAATGACTCCAGCAGGGGCAGGTGAGTGCCTAATCCTTAAGAATTTAACGGCAGACTGCTTCCAGTGACAAGAAACATGAAATTGGGAGTTACTTCAGCCTAGCACGTTAATTCCTGTGTTATTCCCAAGTGTATCGGTATGTGGGACTCCGCTCTCCAAGTTTTAGTGTGCTTGGCAGAGAGTAAAGAAGGGCAGAGATCCCTGGAAGGAGCTGTGGAGTCTGAACGCCTTTATCCTTGCAGTATGTAACAAAGCTGATCAAAGAAGCAGACATCCTGGTTTCCCCACGGCTGAGCGTCCGACTGTGTGCCTCTTCCACGGGGGAGGTTGTCACAGCCCTTCCCGTAGTAACGGAAAGCCCACGTGTCCATGCCAGCAAACAGAGAAAGGACATGCAGATAAAATTAAATGGTATAGGTGCAGAGATGGGAAAGTTTTAAAAGAATTGAAAACTGAATTGCTAGTATTTTTAGCCTTGCATGTATGGGTAAATTGTATATACTGTTGTATAAGACAGCTGGTGGATGTGGAGAGAGGACTGGCCTGACAAGGATTGCTGTCATCATTCTTTTTCTTTATGTACCATGTGTTTCCTAAAAGGATGTAAGTCAGTAGGTCAGTCTGGCTCTTATAAAGTTTTGTTATGATTCACCTTGTGATTCACATTGATCTGTCAAATTTGTTCATATAGAAATATTGCAACCCTAAGTTTTGCCGTTTTTTGACAAACCGGTACGCTAGCTTAATACTTTTTCACCATTTCTTTCCTTTTGTTACTCCATCAGAATGTTTAGGCAGCAGTGCCACACTGACCTTGCACACCTCTGAGAAGGGGCGAGAAGATGCTAACCTTTGAAAACTTTAGCTTCTTTAAGCGTATCTTCACTAATTCATTGAGCAAAACATTTATTGAATGTGTGCTAAATGTAGGGGATACACAATTCATGGCTAAAGTGTGTTGGAATGACCATTAGGTAAATAGGCAATTTACAGGGGCTGTGATAGAGATAACTGTAGGGTGCCATGTGCACACATGGAAGGGGCAACTGACCCAGACCAATTATGGGGGTCTGCCAAGGCAGGCTTTCTGATGGAGGCGATGTGAGCTGAGTTTAGATGAGCTGTGAAAAGCAAGTGACAGAGCAACCTGCATGCCCAAAGGCGTAGACCCACAATTATAGGGCCTCTTTGGGTAACAAAGGTGGTTCAGGGTGGCTAGGGGACAGAGTGCAAGGGGGCAGCAACAGGAAATAGAGCTAGAAAGGTTGGCTATTAGTATCACTAAGTAGTAGCAGTAAACTGGCACAAAACCATTTTGTGATGATCAAGTCAAATTAAATTCATCTTCAAACTGTTCAACAAACTGCTCTTGGAACTTGACAGGCTGATTCTAAAGTTCATCTAGGAGAGTAAAGTTGCATAAATAGAACAGCCAAGAAAATTTTGAAAAAGAATAATGAATTATGAGAAGGAGCTCTGCCCCTCTAGTAATGACAACTGCGTCACTGGGGCAGGAGTAAACAAACAGGTTGACGGAACAAAATGGACCAGGGAGGAAAGCACGGATGCATGGAGATTGAGGTTAGCAGGAAGGTGGCTTTCCAGATCACGGAAAACAGTGGCTCAAATCAATACGGTGCTTCGAAAGCCACGTGCAAAACAAACGTGAGAACTACTAGAAGATGATGCAAGAGAAGACTTCCAAATCTTGAGATGCAGTT